TTAGTTTTGTGTGTGGTTTACTCGCCAGATAAACCTACTGTGCATCGTCTATTTCGACACTCCCAGAGACAACACAGAAGTCAGGGATCCAACAGTGGCGATCAGGATCCAGCAATCAAGCAACGAAACCAAGATTTCCCAAAAGCAGAAGAAGGACTGGAACAGAAGAAGTCCAAGACCAGGGAATCTGAACCGAGAAAAAGAATTCTGATCACAGCAGCAGCCTAGTGATTCTACTATGAAAGAAGAAGAACCACGACTTCCACAGTATTGCTTTTATTAGACTGTGCAGGATTCGAACCGTACTTTCTGCTCGCTATATATCTATCTATATATCCGATCTATCACATTCTTCAGCAAGAACCGGACGAGGACCGAGCAGATAAGTCTTTACTCTTGCTGTGATAGAAGTCGGTTTTGCTTGTTATCCGCACAGTGAAACGTAAGGCACGTGCTCAGAATCGGTTTACCAGTAGCGTGCCACACAAGCACAAGCTATCGTCAGAAGCACAGTCAGCTCACCGGACAACCACATCTACACTTGGAAAATGGATGTGACCACCATCCTGACCATGTTTAGAGAAATGATGGACGAACAGAAGAATGTTATCGCCAAACTGCTAGATCGCATTCCAGAACGCGGACAGGGAGATTGCAATGCGACGGAGCACATGGCACTCCCAAACTTGATGGCAGCGTTGAGCAACCGCATTGAAAAGTTCGTTTTCGACCCGGATGCCGACATGATTTTCTCCAAATGGTTTTCAAGATACAAGGATGTGTTCAACGAAGACGCAAAGCAGCTTTCTGAAAATAGCAAAGTCAGATTGCTCTGCGAAAAATTGGATCCTATATCTTTCGAGAAGTACCAGAGACATGTGCTGCCAAGAGATGTGACGGAAATCGGGTTCACCGAGACGGTGGACATACTCAAGCAGCTGTTTGATTTCAAGTCGTCATTGTTCACCACGAGATATCAATGTCTCAAGCTAGAGAAGAGCCAATCAGAAGACTTCCTCACGTATACCGGTCGTGTGAATGAATTTTGCGAGAGAGCAAAGATTCACGAGCTAGACTCGGACGGAATCAAATGCTTGCTGTGGATTTTCGGATTGAAGTCACAGCAGGAGGCAGAGATCAGGCAGAGGCTGATCACAATACTGGATAGAGACCACAAAGCAGGCAAAACGGTCTCACTGCAACAATTGCATCAGGAGTGCGAAAACTTCTTAAGCCTTAAGAGAGACAGTGAAGTTGTCGCCGGAACTATGAAACTAGTGGAAGCCACGTCCGTCCAGAAGCGAAAGGAAATAGAATGTTGGAACTGCGAAGGCAACCATCGTGCTAGTGGATGCCAAGCAAAACCGTGGTTCTGCAAGAAGTGCAGGAAGGTCGGTCACAAGGAAAAGTTTTGTGACACTTTACGACAAAAGAAGACTGCGGGTCGCACAGAGGCGACGCAGAAAACTCAGCATACTAAAGAGAAGTTCTCGAGGAACAGAAACAACAGAGGTCCGAGAAAACAAGTACGAATCGTCAAGATTGCAAATGCAGCAGTTCAGGCAAACTCTTCCCGTGTGTACATCGACGCTGTAGTGAACAACTACTCTGTCAAATTTCTTCTCGATACTGGATCAGACATCACGTTACTGAACGAGAAGATTTGGAAGAAGATGGGCTCCCCAGC